AAATGTCATCTTCTGCATAATGTTTTCCCATGCAAACTTTGAACCTCTGCAGGACATTGCTTAATTGAAGTTATGATTGAAAAAATAGAATTGTCAAGTTCAGTTCTGGATTTGAATGCAAAATTCAGGAAAATTTCAGGGGTGAATTGGATTAGTATTAAATAATTTCTGTTAAAGTCTAGTTAATAGCACTCAAATTCACAAGATTAGTCTTTGAGAGCTTTTTATGCTTAAAATTGTGATTGGTAAAATGGTAAAAGGCCAGTCCCACTGTAGACCTTTACTGAAGGTTTCTCACTTCAGCTCAACTCTGAGTGAGTACCTGGTTCATTTGGGGTGATGAAGGCTGCTGGATTTGGGATGGGCCTCAGTGCTTTCTCATGTATTGCTGGCAGCAGTGCTTTGACTGTATGAATTCATGATCCCCTCATCCTGTGGATGGGCCGCTCATGAAGGGTGGTGTGAGTGTGCTGTGCTCAGTATCTGACGATGCACTTTTGCTTTTTTCCCCAGAGCGGAGGTGGAGAGCAGAAACTATCGCAGGACAGCCGCAACGAAAGGAATCCCCTTAGACCAGAGAGATGAAGACTGGGAACTCAAGAAAGAAGAGCTTGAGAGAAATCCACCATGTTCTTGGGAAAACTACCCATTGTCTGCTCAAAAGAAAAATGAAAAAAAAAGGCGGAAGCAGTAGAGTGCCCTGACTATTTGGTAGCACTGAGAACTTGCGATGCAGAGCAAAGCCAGTGGCAAAGCTCAGCTGCGTCTGCAGGGTGAAAATGGATGAACAGGAGAAGCAGATGGGCACAAGAACGCACTTTGTGATGTACTGGAAATACTGTCATCATGAGGGAGCAGGCAGAAGTGCTCTGTCTGTCTGCATGTCTGTATGTTGTTTAAATATGCTAATAATGTAATTCACTGAAATGCATAAATTTACAGCAAAGACAGCAGTATCGCCTGAGAGGGAAATGGTTTTGCTCCTAATTGATTCATGAAAGCATCTGGGACAGTGGTTCTACTCCCTCTGGTGATGTCTGTGACTTTTGCTTGTTTGGTTCTGGTGCTGAGTCAACCAGGGCTCTCTAGAGGCTCGTAGCCTCTGGTGGTGCCTCTCTCTTTTTTTGGGAATGGGGTGCAGTGACTTCTTCTGGCTGAAGGGGAGAGGTTGATGTTGACCTTTTCCTGGACCCATGCATCTAACAGCCTGTATCTGCCACTCCTGGCCCAGCAGGAGGGAAAACGTGCTCCCCCGTGGCTGCTTTGAGACCTCTGTGAGTGCCAAGACACAAGTCAGAGCGCTGCCTTATTTTTAGCAGTGCCCCTGGCTGTTTTTGTGTCTGTGCTCACAGGAATGCTGTGGAACTGGTCCTGATCAATCCCTCTTTGCATCAACACTTTCCACGGCAAAAGCATTTTTAATTGTTTAACTTCTTAATCATAAAAACTTAGAATTTGTCCCCACGCAGTTTCCCATACCATGCCAGCCCTGGGCAGCAATTCATGTTGACTCCCGACATCTTCTGTGTCCCCGATTCCCCATCCCTTATGTGTCCGCCTCCCTTCCCCTCTGCTTCCCCTCCACTACCCAAACCTGGTCCCTCTGGAGTGCCTTGCTTAGAGGTGTCCTTCAACCCAGCCAGGCATCGCAATCACAACCAGCAACTCTCTGGTCCATCTCCCTCTTCTAGATTTCCAGGAACTATTTCAGCCATCTGCACAGGGGTGTCTAATGCCACTTGAGATGCTCTCGAGTATCCAGGATGGCCCTGCAGGTCTCCAGAAGATCCTGTGCTGTAGCTCCCAACCCTGTGCAAATGTCTCAGATAGATACCCTACGACTTCTCAGATGGCTCGAGATGCCTATGTTTGGGCACGTGAGTCAAGCTCCAGCTTTGTCTTTTGTCATATGCACTTTCCAAGCCCTATGAAACGTCAGTTCCATTCACAGTTGGCCTGGCTGTTGAATTAGTAACAGTGGAAGTGGAGACACGTGTGGGACTGAGTGTCTATTGCCATGATAATAAATTAAAGAGGTGTGTTTCTAGTCCTGAGGCCAGGTGGTGGAGAGTCCTGTAGTTGAGGAGTGTTTCCCCAGGGCTGGGCACACCACTGCATCTCTCCAGGGAGGGGCTTTAGCATCTGGGCTGTGCACTGTGGCCACGGTGGTTTATAAGCTGTCTCCTGCAGTGCCAGCTGGATGGGGCTGGTGCTTGGAGGGGATAATGACTTTTGGGGCATCATGTTCCCAGGGATTTTGTGGAGATGGAAGAAGGTATGTTGAGCATTGTTTGCTGGGGCTGCATTCTTTTGTGTGAGAAGGTCTAGAAGATGTTGGTTTTGCCTGCTGGGTGTTGTAATATCCTCAAAAGGATGCTGTTGCATGGGATACATGTAGTAAGGAGGCTTTTCCATGGTCTTTTTGTGAAAGCGATGGGGACTGTCATGTTAAATGATCAACTGCCTTGAGCGAGGGCAGGGAAAGAAGGGAGGTGTGGTGGTGCCTGTCCTTTACAGGCTTTTCAGCTGGGCAGATGTGCCCAGGTGAGATGTTTAAGATCTGCCTCCACTGGGACATTGAATGGCGCTGAGTGTCTCCTGCTGTGTGTGGAAGTGGGACTCGGTGGAGTCTGGCATCTGATCTAAAAATGCAATTACAGCTAAAGGCAAAAAGCTAAAGGCAATGTGCTCTGAGTGTCTAATTTTGATCAGGTGACTCAAAATGTTTCTTTTTAGCCAAACAACAGGAAAGTAGTTTTTTTGCTTTACTACTGCAGGAAGAGCCATAAAAATGTGAAAGCTAATGGTTTGAAAAGCCCTTTCTTACACTTTCTTTTTTACCTCTTCCCCTTTCATTTTTGTGGGGATGGAGAGGAAGAGGGAAGGGAGTGTTCCTTTGCCCACAGAAAAGGCAGAAAACCCTTAAAATAATAAGGTTACAAACTGCGTTTTTTTTGCCTTCACCTCTGCTTTTCAAATTAGCATCCCAGAGGAAGCTCAAGGCATTCTTGGAGGGTGAATCCATGTTGAGCAGGCTGATGTTACATCTGAGGTGAGTGCCTGGAGAGTGTTTGGGTATATCTAAGCTCTGCAGAGCTTCAGGAGGCCTCTGAGGCTCCACAGCTGGCAAACATACTCCTTCTGGGTGAATGTTTTACAAAACCAGCAACAAAACCTGCTGAGATGCATGAAAAATGCACGCTTGGCACTTGGCGTGAGGTAAGATGTTCGTCTGGGCCTGAGATGGTGAAAGAAGTGAACAATTCAGGTTCTGCTTTGTTCATGCTGGAACTGTTTCCTGTTTAGATACTCTGCTGTGGTGGGTTGACCTTGGCCAGCTGCCAGACCCCAACCCAGCCACTCCTTCACTCTTGCTCCTGGACAGGACACGGGTAGAAAACAAGATGGAAAAGCTCATGGCTTGAGATAAAGACAGGCAGATCACTCACCAATTAGCATCATGGATCAAACAGACCAATTACTGTCACAGATAAAACAGACTGGACTTGGGGGAAATCAGTTTAATTTATTGCCAAATGAAAACAGAGTAGGGTGATGAGGAACAAAGACAACAGTCAACCACCTTACCTCCACCCGCCCTTCTTCCTAGGCTCAACTTCACACCTTCATTCCCAACTTCTCTCCCTCCTCCTCCCAAGGGGCAGAGGGGGACAGGGAATGGGGGTTGTGGTCAGTCCTTAATGCATTGTCTCTTCCACTCCTTCTTCCTCGTGGTCTTCCTCTGCTGCAGTGTGGGTCCTTCCAATGTGTTGCAGTTCTTCAGGACAAGCCTGGTACGGCATGGGCTCTCCACAGGTTTCAGTTCCTTGGGGCATGTCCACCTACTACAGCATGGTGTCCTCCACAAGCTGCAGTGTGTATATGTGTTCCACCATGGACCTCCGTTGGCTGCAGGGGGACAACCTACATCAGTATGGTCCTCTCCATGGGCTGCAGGTGAATCAATGCTCCGGCACCTGGAGCACATCCTCCCCTTCCTTCTCTGACCTGTGTTTGTTGCAGGGCTGTTTCTCAGCGTTGACCTCACCTCACAGAGACTTCCCTGGATGCCCCAGCTGGAGCACCTGGCACGCACACCCTGTACATCTCTCTGTGGGTCACTGTGAGATGGAGCATGACTTTATTCCACACCATGCTTGGCACAAAACCAAATTCCTCGGTGTTCTACGGAGCCAGAGTCCATTGGTAAAAGCAGATCTCATGAAAAGTAAAAGGAGATGAGGAGAGGAGTCGCACAGAGCAGGGGAGGTCATGTTTTTGCATGACGTGGGGCAGAGAGAGGACACATAAGGCCGGTGTGGGAAGGGCCCACCTGCGCTGAGGCCGTTTCTGCATTGCTGTTTCTAAGTCAGTAACGAGCTCTGGTGAATAACAGGGGTCAACATATTCAGGCACAAGTTATAAGCCAATGCAAGACAGTGACAGAACTCCTCATGTTACAAAGTCCACAGCCACAACAGAGATAAATGTAAAACAAAATCGATATAAACATGTTGTTAAGTACTTTCAATCAGCAAATGCCAAAGCACTGTTAGAAGGTTTGCAGTGTTGTTATTCCCCTTTTGCAGCTATCCCATGTGCCGGGTCTACGTTACTTTCTTATGGACAATAATTCAGCCCAAACAATTATCTAAATCCAATCATAGTAATAAATGATTTAACTGGTAATAAAGTAGTTCAAAGAATTTTAATGCACTTTTCTTAACTTAGATGGTGAAGATAGAACATCTGTATCACCTACACTGGCTGGAGAGTTTAATTAGAGACTATATTACCTGTTTTTTTTTTAATAATTAAATATCATAATTTTCAATGATAAAGTAGTTCAAAGAATTTTAATGCAGTTTTCTTAACTTAGATGGTGAATATAGAACATCTGTATCACCTACACTAGCTGGAGAGTTTCATTAGAGAATACATTCCTTGTTTTTTTATAATGAAATATCATTTTCAATAGGCTCCTCCTTTTGTAACGTTTCCTACCTCATGCAAGCCTTGCACTTCACACAGGACAGAGTCCTTAGCAGTGTCTTTTCCAGTTTGGGGTTGCTGAAAATCAGAATAAGGGAATGAACAGCTGGAAAGGCATACTGAAATACTAAAATGAGAAACACCACAGGATTTGCCTCCTTTGTTGAATAAATCATTGCCAGGACCAAACATGTAAAGTTAATGCTGTAAATGAAGAAAAAGGACAGAATAGATTTCATGGCTTTGATGTGGGCATCCATGCTGAGGTCCTTCGCCGCGTTTGTCTGCATCTTGCATTTGTGTCTCCAGAGAGAAAAGAGGAGGAGAAGGGCAGAAAAGATTACTGCCATGAATGCAGTGGCAAATCCAAAGCCACTGATAAAATAAACAGGGAAAAAGTGTGCATCCATTTTAACACTCACTTTCCAGAAGTTTCCTCGTGTGGTGGAATTGGGGTTGTTACAGTGCGCTTTATTAGCAATGTCGTAGGCAAGGCTGCAGATGACCAGGGATAAAAGCACTGAACCCAACAACAGCCACGGCACGATCCTATCAATTTTTACTTTCAGGTAGGTGAAAAAGATGTGCCTGAAATTTGCAATTTTTATGCAGTAAAAAACACAAAGAGAGGCAGAAACCCACAAGTTGGAACAATTTAGAAAGCTGTGAAGAGCTGTGAATAGTTGGGGCAGGGGGTGAACATAAAAGGACAAGGGATAAAGTACTGAAAACAGGTGATACACCCATGTGGAGAGCAAATACCAAAACCTGCAGCATGCCAGAAACAGCAAGATCTTCTCGTTAGAGTTAAGGCTTTTCTTTTTCACCCAAGCAATACAAAGCACAGAAACAATGAAAGCGTTTATCCACATGCCAACAAGTGCCTGAAGTGTGACAATGACCACAGCCATGATGTCATAAGAAGTGGCATTAAATTTATCTTGAGAGTAACAAGCTTCCATCCTCCCAGACGGGTAGCGGTGCGATGCGAGAAGAGCAGGTTGTTGCACTAACTCACGGTTAGCGCAGGTCGGCAGCTCCTGTTTCCCGAATGTCACGTATGGACCAGGAGCTTTATAGAGCTGGTGGTGGTGGGGATTCTGGTGCTGCGCCTTTTCAGAGCAGGGGCAGGTGCGGGAATGTAAATGTGCTGGATATTCCCTTACCTGGTATGAATGTCAGTCGTCAATATTTGAATTTCGGGTCAGAAGTGATTGGTTGGGTGGCACAAACAAAGTAGATGCTTTTCTGCAGTGGACCACGTTGTGATTTAGTGACTGTCCTATGTTTGACCGCTCTCAGGATTGATGATCTGGGTTCTCCTGTCCTGCTGTCAAATGCAATGCTCACATGGAGGGGTGTGCTCAGCAAAGCAGTCATCGGAGTCACTGTCCCCTTTCACTGCAGAGTGCAGGAGCTGCAAAATTCAGCCAAGATGCTGGAAACTGGAGTTCATTTTCAGAGCAGGGCAGGTGCGGGGATGTAAATGTGCTGGGTATTCCCTTACCTGGTATGAGTGTCAGTCATCAATATTTGAATTTCGGTTCAGAAGTGCTCTGTTGGGTGACACTGTCCTGGTTTAACATAAAACAGGACCTGTTTTGTTCCGTAACTTTTCTTCTTAGCTGGGCTTCTTCTAACTACTGAAATGAGCAGCATATTGTGCAGACACTGTTCGCTCTCAGAGCGATCATACCTGTGTTTATAGCTGATGCCCAGGGATGGTGTGCAGAGGGGCTCTTACACTTACTGCTGTAACCCCCACGGGCAGCTCACTCTGGTATTTGCCCCGTTGGAGGGTCGGAAAGGAAAAGCGCAATGGGGTCCCACCTGCGGGGAGGAGCAGACAGGACGGGTGACCCAAAACTGACCAACGGGGTATTCCATCCCATCTGCCTCATGCTCAGTATAGAAGCTGAGGGATCAAAGGGTCAGCTCTTTCTTCAGTGGACGACATCTGGGTTTGTATGTTTCATTATTTTCTTCTTATTTTATTATTAATATTTCATTAAAGTAGTTTAGTTCCTTCTAAACTCATCAGTCTCTTTTTGCCTCATCTGCACCTCTCTTTGAAGAGGGGTAGAGGGGAGCATCTGTCGGTCCCATCTGTGGCACCCCATGGCCCCAGTAGCTGATTTGGCCTAAACCACAACAGATTTATTGGTGCCCAACGTGGAGCACGAGCAGGGCTTGACCAGAGCTGTGAGAGATTGCCTGAATAGTTTGAATTCCGGCTTGCTCAGAGATTAGAACAGACAGCTCACATCGTGTCGTTCTTAAATGAAATGTTATATTGTGCCTTTAAAGAGCTTTGTTTGCACTTAATTGAGTCAACTCTGTTTGGCCTGCCAAATGCGTTGCAAAGTTTATTTACTCTTTGTGTTTTTATGTGAAGGATTAAATGTGCTGGTTTGGTGTGGTTCGCAACTCAGGTGTACAATATGATCAGTCGGATAACGGCTCTACTTGCATATCTTGGGCATCGCGTGATGGCTTCTGTTACTAATTACACTTTTTTGTTACTAATTACACTTTCGGTTTTACGTTGGGAAAGTTTACTTTGCCCTTTGACAATTATACTAACATGACACCATCAGTGCCAGAGCATGGAAACCTTCTGGGCTGTGATGATAAAGATTGTTGCTTTCTTAAGATTGTGATTGTGGCACTGGTGCTCCTGAATGTGTTGCCGTGGTGGTTTCATGTGAATGATGGGTGCAGGGGTAGCTGTAGGGTACCGTGCGCTGGTGCCACTCAAACCCCAGGAGCCGCTCCGCGACCTGCAGTGATGCAACCCACAGCCCCCCCTGGCCCAGCCAAGGCCATGTTCCCTCCGGCAGCGGCACAGGCCCCACTGCCGCACATCTCCGCAACAGCCACACCACCACCTGCAGCGATGTAGATGCTTTTCTGCAGTGGACAATGTTGTGATTTAGTGACTTCCACATGGTAGGGGGAATATTATATTCAAAAATATAATGGATCATTTAAACCCGGTCACGCTTGACTGAGATGGCAGTCGTGATAGTCCCTGCAGTTATGGATGGATGTTGCCTGGAAGCTCTTAAGGAAAGCAACCCACTTTTCTGAGGCTAAAAATGCCAGAATGAATGTGAAGCCAGATGATCTCCAGGTGCTTTAGACCTGCAAAAGGTCAGGAAGAAAGTTGTCAAGCTGTGATGAAGATCGGACTGGTCTTGTTTGCGTGTGAAGAGCAACCTTGGTGTATGACGCACAACCTTATGGGCACTGGATACAGTGCTGCCGCCCTGCAGTGGAATATCATGGGAAGCAGCGTTTAGTGAATCACCCACTTCTCTGCATCTCCGCCATCGCCTTCATGTCTAAAGAGGGTGGAAGCTTTGATGCAGATCTGTTCGTTTTTTGTGGTCCATGCCCTTGAGTCCAGGAGTCATGGATGGCTTGTGCCAGCTGGCCATTGGTGGATTTTCTTCCCCTGGATGTTGTGTTTCAGGAGGCTGATTTGGCAATTCCTCTCCGTGCAACCTCTGGTCCTGCTGCTCCTCTGACAGGCAGGCTGGGAAGTGTCAAGCGATGGGCGCCCTTTGGTGAATTCAGTTTGTGTTTCCTGTGGCCCTGGTTTTATGGGATGGACGCTTGCGATCATGCCTCTGGGGGAAGGATGCTGATGAGGCACGGGGACTAACTCCTGCTTTGCACTCTCAGGTACCTCACTCCTCTCTCCGGTCCCCCTGGACTGATGGGATCGGCCAGGCGGATGCCCCATGCAGGTAGCAGGTGCAGGAACGTGCAAAGCCCCTTCGTGCGTCTGGCAGGAGGAGAAACCCTCCGAACAGTCGGAGGCAAAGCTCAGCCCTGCTCTTGCCTTCTCACCAAGGGGCCTTTCTCCTGCCCTGCTTCACCCTGACCCACATGACTTGTGTTCACAGGGGAAGTCCTGGGTGGGCTTCCCATGCAAATCACTGGGAGCACGTGGCTTCATAGGCACGTGAGGGGGACCAAACCAGGACCCCTTGCTGTACTTCTGCTCTTAGAGACGAAGTCTTCATGGTCTCCTGAGGAAACCCAAACCAACCCATTTTGCTGGAGGGGTAGCTGTAGGGTACCGTGCGCTGGCGTCACTCAAACCCCAGGAGCCGCTCCGCGACCTGCAGTGATGCAACCCACAGCCCCCCCTTTCCCAGCCAAGTTGATGGCTGGCATTCTACTGATGACAAAATTAAAGCTGTTTTTAAGTTAAAGATGATGCTTTACCCATTAAATCAGAGGAAAATGAGATTCATATGCAGGTCCTAAGTAAACTGGTGGATGAAGTTGCTTAGCCACTATCCATCCTATATGAGAAGTCATGGCAGTCTGGTGAAGTTCCCACTGACTGGAAAAGGGGACACATAACCCCCAGTTTTAAAAAGGGTTAAAAAGAGGACCTGGGGAACTACAGGCCAGTCAGCCTCACCTCTGTGCCTCTCAAGATCATGGAGCAGATCCTCCTGGAAACTCTACTAAGGCACATGGAAAATAAGGAGGTGGTTGGTGACAGTCAACATGGCTTCACTAAGGGCAAACCGTGCCTGAGAAATTTGGTGTCCTCCTACAACAGCGTTACAGGGTTGGTGGATAATGGGAGAGCAACCGATGTCATCTACCCGGACTTGTGCAAAGCTTTTAACACTATTCCACAAAACATCCTGGTCTCTAAATTGGAGACACATGGATTTGACCAATGGATCACTCGGTGAATAAGGAACTGACTGGACGCTCGTGCTCAAAGGGTTGTGGTCAACAGCTTGATGTCCAAATGGCGAGCAGTGACGAGAGGTGTTCCTCAGGGATTGGTGCTGGGACCGGTACTATTTAACATCTTTGTTGGTGACATGGATGTTGCGATGGAGTGGAGCCTCAGCAAGTTTGCTAACGACACCGAGCTGTGTGGAGTGGTTGACACAGTGGAGGGAAGGGATGCCATCCAGACACACCTGGACAGGCTGGAGAGGTGGGTGTGTGCAAACCTCATGAAGTTCAACATGGCCAAGTGCAAGGTCCTGCATGTGGACTCGGGCAATTTCATGCATAAATACAGGCTGAGTGGAGAATTAATTGAGAACAGACGTAAGGAGAAGGACTTGGGGATGCTGGTTGATGAGAATCTCAAAGTGAGCCAGCAATCATAGAATCATAGAATGGTTTAGGTTGGAAAGGACCTTGAAGATCATTGAGTTCCAACCCCCTTGCCATGGGCAGAGACACCTCCCACTAGACCAGGTTACCCAAGGCCACGTCGCCCCT